ATCCTATTGACCCCAAACCAACATATCAGTCCCATGGAGTGTCGGGGAATGGAATGAAAGAATCCGCGGAGTGCAAAGCCTTCCAACAGATTCAGGTTGATCTACCCTCCCTCCAACCCATGCCATCCACTTCCATGACTATTTCAGGGTACCCTTTTGGTGCACCTCTAAAGAAGTCGCAGCTGGTGACCTGCTGGAGAGGCATTGTCGCCAGAACGTCCTGTCAAGGCAATTGCTCCGCTCTAGTGCCTTGGCTCGGCCTCCTTCGGAAGCTCTCTGGGTAGCAACATCAGTCCCTCTCACTTGTCAGAACGGCCAGGAACACAGGAACAACACACTAAAATACACACGCAGAAACACACACACACATGCGGAACAGAGCGGTACTTATACCATCTTATACCGGTTGAAACAGGTTGAGACAGAACCTTCCTCCCCAGTTCCAAACCGGGCGCCCCCACGAACTCCTCGCGTCGCCACCTGCATCATGAGAAAGTAAGGTGAAATTCCAAGGTCAATGAGTCAATGAAGTAATGAACTCATCATGTGCAAGTCCAATCTGCTCAAGACACACCATGGGTGGCTGCACTTGAAAAGTCTCCATCTCCCTATTGAAACTGGTCAGATACCAAGACTTTTCATAGGGATTGCAGGTGGACACACCTCATTGGGACACTTTTCAAGACTTTTCATGGTGGACACCACCTCAGTCGTCCAAGACCCGCTTTGCCGGCCCCGCGAAGCCGCCGCCGCCACGTGTCGCACCGGGTCTCCGGGCAGCACGATCCGATGAAGAAGATCCACCAGCCTTGGTGCCCCAGCCGTGGGTGCCTCATGAGTGAGTGAACTTGAAAACGTTTTGCACAAATGTTCGACCAACTCCCAGGTAGGCACAGTGCTTAGCGCTGCTTGACAGAGGCCACCGTTTGTTTGACATGCGTAGCACCGAAACCTCCCCAAAGAAGCAAATCATTGAACGATTAGAACGGTCGAATGGTTTTGCTATGCCAGTGGAACCTGCTAAGCATATAGTAATCTAATGTATACTATATGATATACGACTGTATATATATATACATACTAATCCTACTACAATATGAATATTATAGATATACTAAATACTCTGGGTCCGTGAATCCATGGTCAATTCTGCGTCCCTGAGCACTCCCAACAACCCGGAGTGACTCCGTGGCTGCGCCGGCTGCGTCCGCGCGAGGTCCCACATGAGATCCGTGACCTCGAGCGGCTCCAGCGCAGAGGGAGGTCTGTCTACAGGGGCTTGGTCAAGGAAGACAAGTCACCCAGTGGATCCAGTGACCACATGTTACCATTATATCCAGATTTGGGTTTCAGTTTCACTCCATGTATGGACACCTCTCTGAGCTGACCCAAATTTGCTGCTAAGCATTCCCAAACACCACCTGTTTGGGACTGCCATATTTACCCGATCAGTCGGGGTTGTTAACTGGTGGTCAATGGGATGGCATATATTCCATACATGGAGTATCTGGGATAGGCCAGGAGTCATTCCAAAGACTCGAACATCATTCCTCATTAAGTGCTAGCTGCTTCGCTGGATGAAACCTTGTCCCTGAAACGGGGAGATATATACACCCAACGGTGAATTTCAACATCACCCAAACGCAGGCACCCTCCCTGCAGACTAACATGGACCCTAAAAAATACCTATATATAGTGGAAAACAATTTTCCTCTACAACCCTGTGGTTTTGAAAGCCCATTTGAATCTGCAGGAGGGTATTGGGACGTGTGGTTTGGGGATGCTGAAATGCCACTTGGCATTCTCGGTGATTGAAACTGGGCATGGTGGCATGACTCCTCCACATTGGGCGCTCATGGCCAACCTAGCTGATCAAAGGTGGCACTCTCGACCAAAGATTAGGACATATGATGGATTATGACGCATACAAACATGAAGCATGGGAATCTATCGTGAGAGATGATCCTTGATTGACTTCAGTCTTGTGTAGCTTAATACAAACCAATACAAACAAAATAGAACAACACAAAACAAAATAAACCACTCAAAGTCAAACAAAACAAACTTCAAACCAAACAAAACAAACAGACAAACAAACAAACAACACACACACACAAAAAAGAGTAAAAATAAACACCGAATCCCAACCAAACCAAACTGTGTACATACATGTACATACGATATTGCCCGAATGTTCTTTCCTCCAAGTGGCATCCCGCGGGGGGAACTCATTTGGCTGCGAACCCAAGAGGGCAATGAGCTCCTGCACAGACATCACTGGAAAAAATGCATATTTGTTTGCCAGTCGGGGTAGACCAGTTCTGGCGCATTGCTGAGCCGCTCTTGGGGGCAATCAGTGTCTGCCCGGGCTGACCCTGGTGTCTGTCCCTGGTGTTCGTGAACTCTCGGACGGCCAGTCCGGTGTTCGGGCATCACATCTGAAAGAACAGTTTCTCTTCATACTTCGATACATCATGATACATCATAAGCTCCTGACATCGTAAGCTCCTGACGACTCCCCAAAACATGCCCAAACAGCTCTGAGTCCGGAGCGAGACCCAGGGAGACCGACCCGGAACCGTTCCGAGCCTCACTGGTTCGGTGAAAGGGACATGGATAGACGTAAGGCGACCCACTTCCCTGGCGCTAGAAAGGAGGGTCTCCCTATTTTCACACCTTATCACACGTTCATGTATGTTCTTGCCAAAAACAGGACATCGATCCAAAAGCCGTTGAGGATCTCCCGCAACCTTTCGCGGAAGGACAAACATCCAAAGAATCCTATAGGATCCGATAGGATTCTCGAGGAAAACGAATATATAGGATTGGTCCCTAGAAGATCACTTATTGGTCCAAGTAGTCCAGGATTCTCCACACTTGGCATCTGCCATCGAACCCGCCTCTTCTGAGTTCACGGTGGAGTCCTGACCTGGTGCGGTCCCCGACGCTTTCGGACCACCAAAGCAAGATTGGTACTGAGCAGGTGTGGATGTTCACTGGAAGGGTGTGCCTTAAACCGCTGGACAGACGTATTGATGTGTCCATGATGTGTCCCTACTGTGGTTTTCACCAGCCGTCACATGTCATGTCGCTTGACGAGGCCGAGATCGGTTTCAAAAATGCGCCTGAAAACTGCAACGTGTCACATGACTGCAACAGATTTCTTCAAGCCTGGGAACTGTTTTACCAAAACTCCTGTCCTTTTCCTTCGCTCTTGGCTCCTTTGAAGAATCATCCTTTTGACTTGGACGCGAACCAAAAAAGAAACGTCCTTTGTGGGTGTTTTTAGGCTCCTTGGGGGGTCATTGGACCACCGCGTTCAGCCTGTCCACGGATGTTCTGCGCTCAAAGTCCAAAGAACCGTCATGAAATATGTGACCCCTTCTCATCTTTTGCAGGACTAAGCAAACACCATTGCATGAAGCAAAGGATCCCCCTATGAAACAATAGCAACTGCCAGCACAGGAAGGGTAGTTTATAGACCTCCCGCCCTGACTATTGCCCTTCCAATAACCTCCCCTTCCGTGTGGTGTTGGCGCTCGATTTGTTTACTGTTTGACTCATCTGATCAAATATCTGACAAATTAGAAGGAAAACAGTATATATATATGATTATTTATGCACATATATAATGTTATATAATATGTAATATGTATACACACACACACACGCGACTAGAGGAGATCACACGCCGAGTGCTTGGCAACAACGTCCATGGATTTCCCCGTTGCTGCCCAGTAACCAATCAAGAAGCGGCGCACTTCGGGCATTGACAGTGTCCTCGGGAGGCAAACTGGTGCAGCCAGTTTGAGGCGCCACTCTAAAGCAACAATGGACAATGATGGTTGGGTTGCAGGTCTATTGGTATGCTCCCTGAAATCATCATGGGCGTGCAGTGAACACCATCGATCCTCGCGGGAGCCATCGATCCTCGAGCATCCCCTGGCTGAGATTGAAACACATCGCTTGCCCGGATGTGGACATACATCAGCGGTTGCGGATTTGTTTGTTCTTTTTTGCAGTCGTTCCCCAAGTGGAAGTGGAATGCTAGCTGTTTGTAGAATAAATAACTGTCCAGGAGGCAATTGTCCATGACCATGATTATTTCAGGGCATCTAGGGCCTGTGTGCAAAAAATACAGACCAAGTGGACCACAAGGCAAAAACAAAAACACAAACTCAGGCCGCAGGACGAACAAACATGAGATAAGTGTATCATATTTGAGAAGGGAGTAAAGAACTACGAAAGAGTTTGTTCATATGATGCACTTGGGTTGTCCCTTAAGGTGAAACAAAAAACCAACAAACCAACAACAAGAGTAGGTGAAGTAATGAAGTATAGAAAGCCAGAAATCAAGGCGTTGAAAAACAACTACTTTTATATTGCAATGAAAACAACGAAACAATAGGCCACAAAAGGACAAGAAACAGGGTTCAGGAAAGAAAAACAGGAGAAAAGCAAGGAAGAGCAAAACATGCGTTAAAACAGCAGGAAACGCAAGAAACCAGGAGACATCACAGGGAAGCAATAAAAGCAAAGGAAATGCAAGGACGGGCAAAACAAACACCAAAAAAACAGGAAACACATTTAAAAAAAAAACAACCACAAAGAAACAATGAAAAACAAGGAAATGCAAAACAAACACCAACAAACAAAAACAAACCTATGTTGAAAAAACACAATCAAACCGGGAAAAACAACACTGCCAATACAGGAGGCCTTGTCATTTATGGGTCCAGTCCGCTAAGTGGCAAGTGGGCACTGGCTCCCACCTCAGGCATGTTCCATGTCTTGGGGGTGTCAGGCCCTAGCTCAATCTCCCCAATCTCCCCGGTACAAATCCCCAAGGAAATCCATCTGGGGCTCGGACGCATCACAACGGGTCAAGACCTGCACCACACAAGCTAGGAACGGTACTAGACACCTGTGAAAACGTGGTGTGCTTTGGAAAACGACAGTTTCCTCGACAAAATTCTGTATTTGATGCATAAATATAGTTGGGAAAACACTACGAATTCCAATCACAGCGGCCCTTTCTGAATCTGCAGCCGACAGTGCAGCTGCCAGCTGCGGTGTCTGTCGTTGCACATCAATAACACAAGCATAACGCAAAGGGACGCTGGCCGCAGCTCGCGTATGGAGACCGCCGGCCTTGCCACCGGTATAAAACTGTCACTGTCGGCGTGCTATGAGCCCATGAGACAACATGAGCCCATGAGACAAACACCCACGTGGATTTTTTTCCTGGAAGACGTTAACTGCATCCTTCACTCATCCAACTGCAATTTTGCACTCAGTGCTGAGGCCACCAAGGACCCCAAACACAGCCCACCATTTACGGCACAGGCGGACAATCGACCGCAAGTCTTCCGCTGCTCCGCGGTGAGGCCAGGGATCTCGTTGATGACGATCCTGGGAGACACGAAACAATCAACAGGTGAAACACTGGATATGTGTCATGCGAGACCCTCGCACTCCACTTCATGCATACTTGAGCGGGGAAACAAGAAAGGTAGGGACGGACCGGGTAGCTGTCGGGACCTTTTCTGGTGAGGGACTGTCTCCGGTGTTTCAGGAACGTTCCCCTTGGTCAATCATGGATAAAACCAACAAAGCCAGAGAGCACAAGAAGGCTCAAGAGGAACACCGTTGCGGTCAGATTGCGCCACACGGCTCTGCAGAGAGGCTGCGTAGTCGACGCTCGTTTGCGTAAAGGTGTGTGGAAGCAGGCGCGCGTAAAAGTCGCAATGCGTAAACGCTCGCATGTGTACCAGCTATGGTCACACAGCTGCACGCACTGTGTCAGGACACAGGCCTGCACGCGTTGCGTCGAAGCGGCAGTGACCAACCCCTTGTAAGGATAGTGCTGGAGGGGGGCGGCCGGTACTGCCAGGGATGGACGTCACGCTATGGTGGGTGGCTGATGGGAAGGGTGCGTAAATAGCTCCGAAGTGGTGCTCCACGATGCGGTAAGATGTCGCCAAGCTAGAGTCTAAGGCTGAGTCGAATGGTGCTCCGCGAAGCGAGAGGTTTCTCGCAGGGCTTTGGCTGTGTTGCATCGATGCCCGTTGGTGTCGAGCAATATGGTCTGTGAACGCAGTACGCGCTGTGTCAGGCTGCCGGGTGCGCACGCGCGGCATCGAAGCCGCATTGCGCAACCTCATTGCGCAGGGTTCGTGCTGTATTGGGCAACCTCATGGCCAGCATCGTACTGCTGTGACTGCTAAGCGCATGACTTCACCTTATGGTGTGATGGTGTGTCCAAAATGCTAGTAGTGCTGGCAAGGGGAGGGGACGGGGAGGGGAGTGGGGGGGGGTGCAAAACAATTGATTTATCAATGAATCATCACATGGGACGGGGGGGAGGGGGGGGGTGGGGGTGTTAGACATTGATCTACCAATCTTTAGTCCCGAGCAGGCTCTCAAGCCAGTCCCTTTGCTTCGCAAAGCAAACTCAAGGTAGTCCTTACCAGGCTAGGTTTCGTGATATAGATTGTGGATGTCTATTATTTAAATTGAGAACATTACACTCCTCGAACTGGGGGACGTCTCAAAACGGTTGGAGGATGTTGGAGGCTTCAGTCAGTCACATGTGCCCTAGCTTCACCCAAAAGAACTCAATGGAAACGATCAAACGTCTGCAAATGAGTTCAGAGAACTGTCAGCTACATTGTGCCGAGTAGAGCGCCAGGTTTCCTTCGTGACCTCTCCCATTCTGTGGCCGACATGTACCCAATTTGATTGAAAGCACCCACTAAATTAAAAACAAATAACCAAATATAATGTGGGAAACCCTAAACTTAGGTTGTAGAGAATCAAAAGGCAACAGTGTGTCAGCAGCAAGGTGTGGGAGTCATTGGGAATCTACATGCTGCCGTCGAAGCAAAGCATAGCTTGTTAGTCACTTGGAAACCTCATCCTTGTGTCCGTCCGCCCCTGTGCATGCAGCAAAGGGATGATGCATTTGGCAAAATTGGACAAGCCGGCGCTGCTCCTGAAACGAGCTTTCAGACCCCTGTGTCAGGGTACGCCGCCTTTCCGGCTGACATTGGAGGCCAAAGCCTGCCTCGGAATGTTCCTGATGCTTCATGCACAGGGACGGTGAATGATTTGCTGATTGCCTTGACCTCTTCGGGGGATTCTCCTCAAAAACTCTCCAATGATTGCATTGATTTGTGGATTGTCTGCGAATGCGACTCTAATGCGACTCTGACGAACCATATTCATTTAACGCAGCCACCAATCCTCGCAAATTACACTTGTTTCAATTGACACTCTTCCAGGATTGGCGCTGCTTCTGCGGCTTTCTCACAACACGTGCATCGTGGATGGGCACTTTCGACCCATTCTGTGACCTCGGAACCTTCATAGACTAAAGAATGTCAACAACTTTACAACGCACACAAAATCATACTGCAAAACAAGAAAAATGTCCATGATTGTGTTCATAACGTAAGACTGCTGACGAACAATAGAAGCAATTGAACACAATCAAACTGCTTAGATTAATCATCATGATTTCAGATTTACTAATTCGATCTTCAAATGCATCTTCTGGTTCTTTTGTGATGTGGTCTTCCTGTGACATCCCACCCTCTCACTCAAAAAACTGCGGTTGCACAGCATTTGCTGCCTAGGCTCAGCGACAAGGATCCGCTATAGCCATTCAACAAACCAAACGCCGCGACGGCCACCATGGACCAAAGATCGCTGGTCGTTCCAACGGCACAAGTCAGCATCAAAGGCACCAAGAGGGCTCGGAGCAGGACCGTGTACCTGAAAAATGGTCACCACTGTGGAGTTGACTGAGAACATAGAAACTAGAGTTCCGAAAATTCAGGACGTTTCTCGGAGGGAGTGATGGATATATATAGTCTGTTTGTGTCGGGGTGGTGGCTCAGAAAAATCTTTGGGGGGACTCAATCTGCAAAAATCCAGATCTAATGATCTATCATCTGATCGGATCCTCCTAAACACATGATCCATCCACGTTGGTAGCCGCCAAGACCACAAATTCGGACTCCATAATTGAATGAGCGCCATGATTGGACTGCGGAAGACTTCGCCAGTGCTTTTGGACGATCAAATTCCACTACTCTCCTTGGACCTGACATGGAAATGGCAATCCCCTGTTTGTAGAGAAAAACGGCCTTCCACAGGGGGCTATCTTCCACTCCCATGTTAACTCCAGGAAGTGTAGCTCCAACCTAGCTTGCAAAACAACGAAACAACACTTAAACAACCCGTAGTCAATGCAGGGCCCCCCTAAAGCAACATGTGCCTGGCAGGTGAATAGTGTGTGAAAATGGGGTCATAATAAGGATTAGGTTACGCAAGTGGAGAGCGGTATCCATGTTGACACTTCATTTTTTTGCGACGCAAATCCACTCAAAGGAACTGGATATTTCCATGGTCAAGGCCGAAGCGAATGTGTGTGCAAAAGCGTGCCACGATGTCGAACATGGCAAACCTGAGCTGATCAGAGACTCTCGGACCATTGGATGATCGTTCCTTCAAGTAACTCTTGGACCACGTGGCGCTTTAATCTGGAATGGGCCGATCATTGGGTGGTACCAGCCCCTACCAGCTGCTCTTTCATTGGCTTGAGTTGTGTTGATGGAGTTAAGCTTCCATTGGGCGCGATCCAACCCCAAGCTTTAACAAAGTAGACAAACACACGACCGCAAATTGAAAGGATATTAGGAAGCTCGCGCAAAATAGTTGAAAGTAGGACACACCCCTTTCTGCTTTTTGCTTCTTCCCCACCTGGCAGGTGAGGGCGGCCAGATTTGTAAGAGAGGCGTCGTAACTCCTCGTCCTCCTTCTCCCGGCCTCCTCCCTCAACAGCAAGAGTCTGATCACAGTGTGCACTCCCAGACTTCAACAGCAAGCTCCAGGGCGCAGTGGGCACTACCGGACCACAACAGCAAGCGCCAGATGGGCAGTCTCGGAACTCGACAGCAAGCGCCAGGTGGCAGTGGAGACTCTCGGACCTGAACAGCAAGCAACCACACAACACACAACACATAATACACAACCAACAACACAACCACAACCCACAACAACACAACAAAAAAGACAAACACACACAACCTAAACACACCAACAAACAACACACGAACAACACACAGCCACCAAGACACAACCACAAACACACAACCAACCAAACGCAGCCAACAAAACACAACCACAAACGCAACGCTTGAGCGCCGTTGACAACAAACTCATATAGCACGTCGAACAACCACCTTCATTTCATTCACTGGACAAGCGCCGGGCCCGGCGCCTCGGCGCCTATGCAGCACCCGTAATCATAATGCAAACACACAATCACGGCCACAAACACCGACACCAACCACCATCCCCCTCCCCAACACAAACCAACAACAACAAATAACAACAGCAGCAGCAGCAACCACAACCGTCACAACAACAACCAACAACCAACAACCACAACAACAACCGACAGTAACAGCGACAGCAACAGCAACATTGTAATTACCTCTGTGTGGCATTTTGCGTGGCAGGTGGTCACAGGGTCGCACTTTGGATAGCATGCCAGCTGAGACCCTGAAGACACCCCGACGCGAACCCCGCAACACAAGGACACAACCACCCACAAGCAAATTTGAGAACCGCAAAACCCCCCACCATGGCAACATGAAAACAACTGATTGACATGTCATGGTGGGGATCACTCGAAGTAAAGTTAATAGTCTATATATGTCTGTATTGTTCATCTGCAAACTGCGTATGTGTATATATATATATATGTAATGGTGTTCCCCTAAAACAGTGAGCGTAATCCTGGCAAACAATTAGGAAACAACTAGGACAAACTTAAACATAGGACAAATATGAAACAACAGATCGCTCCCATGTTCTATTTGTTTCATATGTTTGTCATATTGTGTTCCTACTATTCAAGCGGTTGTCACATCTCTTCCTTTTGATTCCAAAGTTGATGATTCTGCTGTTTCTACTACTCTCTCTAATATCTATCCATCTATCTATCGTGGCCTTCATGGAAGTTTCTTTGTACTGTAACTTCATAAGGGTCCCGTCCCCTATCCTCGAGGGACGCTCTTTTCAAGAACATCATTCCGTGATTGCAATCTTGTCAAAGGCAGCTCATATGCTCGGATGAAATAGGCTTCGAGTCTCCAACGACCCCTTTTTGGGTCGAGCGTAAACAAGCTGAGTGTCTACACAAATGGGCCCAAGTAACTCTATGAAGGACTGTGTTGGGGGCCCACAACACACAACAAGTTGACCTGGGGAACTTAAAAGGATCTTTTGCCCAAGCTTTAAAGAGATGGCGCCTGTTCTAAGACCCAACGTGTGCGCCAAAGCAGCCAACCCCGCATAATTTCACCACCTCTTTCAGCACCATCCATCGCCATTCTTCATCATTCTTCCATACACCACGCTAGAAACAAACCCGAAGAATCTGGTCACCACTCAACCACCGACTGCATCTTCTGAAAACCGAGCAGGTTTAAGAACCACCCCATGGGTCGAACCGCAGAACCACCCAGTCTTGGACCTGTTACCTGTTCCGCCCAGTCTTGGACCGGTTCCGCGTGCTGGACGGTTTGTTCATTTCATCGCAGCCTACACCGCGTGTGTCTTTTAATTCAACGATCACCGCCCACTGGTCCGCCCAGGGGCCAAAGTGCAGGTTTCACTGGTTTTCACCTGAGGTTCCTACGCCAAAGCATTGACGCACATGGAAGTCAAGTACATTTAGTGTGTTTCCTTTCAAGAGAAACGGTTTCTTTCCCAAGTCTGTATTGAAATGCCTTCTCGAAAGTGAAAGCCGACTCTCTCTTATATCTATCTATCTATCGTCGTCTTCATGGAAGTTTCTTTGTACAGTAACTTCATAAGGGTCCCATCCCCTATCCTCGAGGCACGCTGGTGAGAAGGTGGTTAGAGTGGACCCCCCTTGTGCAATTCGGGAAGTAAGATGTAGAGTGACTCACTCACGACTCGTAGAACCTGAAAAGTGTGGCAAAGCAAAACATGAGATGAGTTCTTTGAGGAGCATGTCATGGGACGATCATCTACCAAGTTAATCCCTAGGGCTCCAACTACCTCCTCCCCGGCACACAAGGCTGCGTTGTTTACCATCCAATCCGACGTTGGGCTCCCCGGCACACCCTTGTGCTGTGAATCTCTGGCCCTAGGAATGGCCCGAGAGTGTTTAGGTGTAGAGTTGCTCTCGTGTAAGGTATGCTTGCATTACGATGAAACAGTAGAGTGAAGAGAGTTGTCAGATGTCTGCAGGGATGTCAGGGTTTTGCTGTAGGATTGCCAAACCCTATGGGCACGTTTGTGGAGCTCCATATGTTGGTACCGCCCTCAATCATTTGATTCACTTGCGCTTTACAAATTTGTCAGACGAAAGCTTTGGAACTCCGCTCTTGGCTTTAAGTTCCCTTTACATGAAGCGATGCCAAAGCGATACCCCTGGATGATCAAAACTTCTTTGTGGGGAAGGGAGCGCTGATGTGTCAATGGAAAGCTTTCTCTCTCCCTCTCTGTCTCTTCTCCCACTACCCATATCCATGTGCACATCACTTTGGCTATGTTTTCAAGAGAAATCATCAAAAAATATACAAAGGCATCCAAAACACTGTAAAGCGACATACTTAGTAACCCCAAAGATGATTGAAGTGTACATTGTGAAGGTACCCCCTCTTGCTCCCCTCGCCCCCCCCCCGTGCAGCCAAGACACAGCAGTTTGTTGATGAACCGTTGGGTGGGCATGATGTTTGTTGGTGCTTGCGTGGTGGCTGTGCGTTGTTGTTGCTGGTGCTGTTGCTGTTGCTGTTGTTGTTGTTGTTCTAGTGGTGGTGGTGGCGGTGGTGGTGGTGGTGAACATGGTGGTGGTGGTGGATGTGTGGCTGGCTTCGCCTCGGCGAAGGGATCGCCGGAGACTAGGTTGCATGGGGATTGGCACAGACTTCGCACAGGTGACTAGGGCCTAGGGAGCGGCCACATGTGACTAGGGTTTCTGGTGACTAGCCTATATATGTATATAATCATATATATTCATTAATAAGAAACACACAGCGCATTCGACTCACTCTGTGAACAACAATCCGTTCACCGACATGGCTGCTTCAGTTGGTTGGAGCAGATCTGTCGACGGGTCATGCAGACTCTGTTTATGCTCCAAAAATGTCTTTTTCCGCTGCATGCTGTATACTAAATATACTAATTGTGAGCAAATGTCAAAGGGGGCAATACCACAATACGATGCAATACCTGTCATGACACGTTAGAGGCGCACAAACACCCCGAAAGACACCCCAAAAATCATCTGGAACTCTATGTGCTGGTCACTGGTCACGCCACATTTAAATCCGCGCCAGCCGACGCAAAGAAACTGAAGCGAACAGGGGTGCTTCAACCCCCTATATCTGACTCTGTATATATATATATATATGTGATTCTATATGTTTATTTGGGCCATTTGAGGGCAAAAGTACATCATCATGAGTCTGCCGCGGTCTGCTTGACGACCTGGTCGACCAACTCTAGTTGACCAATCCCAGACCAAATGAATGGGAGTGGAATAGTTGCATACATTGACCTCATCCAGCGATCATGTAAGCTTAAGGTGATTTGATGTTGATTTTGGTCTGTTCGCTGTTCTCCCAGTCTTAGGAATGATTGATTGTTCATGACAGTGGACAAGGGCTGGTTGTCCCATGTTGCCCTTGCACACTCTCCCAGATCTAAGATACTTGAAGGCTCCTGAAGGCATAAAACATAACTCCCTTACCGCTACACAAATGCGCTGTGATTACAAAGACCACTGATCTTTACACATCCCTGAAAAGTATTGCCACTAAGCCGCGCCAGAAGGCGGACACAAAACCCCCGACTGGGAGACACAAGTAAACATGCCCAGGGCGCCACGCCGAGAGCGTTCCATTCGATGCCGTGGCGAGGAACGCGTATTGCCCAATCTCCCCGGCGTCGTGTGAAGATTGCCTCTGCAGGTCCATGGTAGGTCCTCATTGGATAGTGATGGGAGTGGGAACCTTAACATTAGTGACTGAACGACAGCGAACACGCCCACAAGCTCGGGAGAGCGCCTTGATGAACACTCGGTAGAAGCGTCCATCAAGTGATGGCTCCTCAACCACCTTCTCAGCCCAACCTCGGATATTTCGGTCTGGTAGCAGTAGCTAACCAATCGCCAGGGCCCATTTTCATCATTGAACGTGTGGCCAGCTGGGATTGGACTCAATCCGTTCCGCTTTTCAATACCCCAGCAACATTGGACAAATCTTGTGTGGATGTTCCCCCAAAAACGCGTCTTCAGTGAGCTACGCCAAAACCAAATTCAATCACCAGGACCCCCTGTCCAGGTGGTGCATGGACACACCGAATCGGGGGGTTCTGCTATGGTCTGTTTTATGGTTTTATATACCGCCTTCAGGAGACGGAGTGACCTCTGTTTTGACAAGAGAAAAACACATGTTGGTTGGTGGTCCAAAATATCTTGTATATCATGCTAACCAACCCCACGCATGAATCGATGGATTTATGCGCCTGATACGACATTGGGGCAGGTGGTGTTTTGTCATCTCTCGCGGCCTGGGGAGCTTTTTTTGCTTTGAACCAACACCTACAGAAGTTGAACATCGTATACGATTCGGCTTGGACTGGAAAGGATGGACGCACGTAGAATCCCTGGCGCATCGGAATCCCTCTTCGTCATATACTTGCAATATTCGAAAATACTTGTTTTGTGTAGTCCTGACATTGTCCACGGCTGATTGTTGGGAAAGAATGCTGGAAGGGTCGGAGTAGGACCAGGTTCCAAAATGTGTAAGCTGTCAATGTCAATGCGATGCACCAGGTGGTGTGTGAGATTCGAAAGTTGCTGGCCAAGGAAAACAGTGCCCTTTGAGCTACAAGAGAAGGACAGGCATCAAATCATGTGTTTCTGGCAAAGGTAAAGTTGTCTTCTTACTACGCTGCTTTGCGTTGCCAAGTTTGGACCATTGCGTACTCCGTGCCGTTTCCTTGCCTCAAGCCACTCCTTCTTTCGCGCTTTCAGACGGTTTCGCGCTTTCTTTGTGCAGTAACTTCATAAGGGTCCCATCCCCTATCCTCGAGGGACGCTCTTTTCAAGAACATCATTCCGTTATTGCAATCTTGTCAAAGGCAGCTCATATGCTCGGATGAAATAGGCTTCGAGTCTCCAACGACCCTTTTTTTTGTGTCTTTGGAAAAGTCGGAGCGTAAACAAGCTAAGTGTCTACACAAATGGGCCTAAGTAACTCTATGCTGTGTTGGGGGCCCACAACACACAACAAGTTGACCTGGGGAACTTAAAAGGATCTTTTGCTCAAGCTTTTCAGAGTTGGCGCCTTTTCTAAGACCCAACGTGTGCGCCAAAGCAGCCAAACACGCATAATTTCACCACCTCTTTCAGCACCATCCATCGCCATTCTTCATCATTCTTCCATACACCACGCTAGAAACAAAACCAAAGAATCTGGTCACCCCTCAACCACCGACTGCATCTTCTGAAAACCGAGCAGGTTTAAGAACCACCCCATGTGTCGAACCGCAGAACCACCCAGTCTTGGACCTGTTCCGCCCAGTCTTGGACCGGTTCCGCGTGCTGGACGGTTTGCTCATTTCATCGCAGCCTACACCGCGTGTGTTTTTTAATTCAACGATCACCGCCCACTGGTCCGCCCAGGGGCCAAAGCGCAGGTTTCTCTGGTTTTCACCTGAGGTTCCTACGCCAAAGCATTGACGCACATGGAAGTCAAGTACATTTAGTGTGTTTCCTAGAAACGGTTTCTTTCCCAAGTCTGTATTGAAATGCCTTCTCGAAAGTGAAAGCCGACTCTCTCTTATATCTATCTATCTATCTATCTATCGTCGTCTTCATGGAAGTTTCTTTGTACAGTAACTTGATAAGGGTCCCATCCCCTATCCTCGAGGCACGCTGCTGAGAAGGTGGTTAGAGTGGACCCCCCCTTGTGCAATTCGGGAAGTAAGCTGTAGAGTGACTCACTCACGACTGATAGAACCTCAAAAGTGTGCCAAAGCAAAACATGAGATGAGTTCTTTGAGGAGCATGTCATGGGACGATCATCTACCAAGTTAATCCCTAGGGCTCCAACTACCTCCTCCCCGGCACCCAAGGCTGCGTTGTTTACCATCCAATCCGACGTTGGGCTCCCCGGCACACCCTTGTGCTGGGAATCTCTGCCCCTAGGAATGGCCCGAGAGTGTTTAGGTGTAGAGTTGCCCTCGTGTAAGGTATGCTTGCATTACGATGAAACAGTCGAGTAAAGAGAGTTGTCAGATGTCTTCAGGGATGTCAGGGTTTTACTGTTGGATTGCCAAACCCTATGGGCACGTTTGTGGAGCTCCATATGTTGGTACCGCCCTCAATCATTTGATTCACTTGCGCTTTACAACCTTGTCAGACGAAAGCTTTGGAACTCCGTTCTTGGCTTTAAGTTCCCTTTACATGAAGCGATGCCAAAGCGATACCCCTGGATGATCAAAACTTCTTTGTGGGGAAGGGAGCGCTGATGTGTCAATGGAAAGCTTTCTCTCCCTCTCTGTCTCTTCTCCCACTACCCATATCCATGTGCACATCACTTTGGCTATGTTTTCAAGAGAAACCATCAAAAAATATACAAAGGCATCCAAAACACTGTAAAGCGACATACTTGGTAACCCCGCAAAAATGATTGAAGTGTACATTGTGAAGGTACCCCCTCTTGCTCCCCTCGCCCCCCCCCGTGCAGCCAAGACACATTATCTTGTTCACAAACCTTTGTGTTGGTTTGATGTTGGTTGGAGCTTGCGTTGTGGCTGCGTGTTGCTGTTGTTGTTGTTGTTGTTCTGGTGGTGGTGGTGGATGTGTGGCTGGCTTCGCCTCGGCGAAGGGATCGCCGGAGACTAGGTTGGGGATTGGCACAGACTTCACACAGGTGACTAGGGCCTAGGGAGCGGCCCGGCGCCTTACTTGGGCCAACACACAAGGGGCCAACACACAAGGACCATGAGATAAACATAAGGTTTCATGTCAACCTACAGAGCTCTTGATCTACAATACCCCTAAACAAATCTAAGCAGTTTCAATCTTGGAAAAACACACTTATTGCTTTGTGTGTCTTCATTGTTATATTTGATTGTAGTATATTTGTAAGGCGCACTTATTGCTTTGTGTTTCTTCATTGCTGTATTTTGATTGTAGTATTTGTTGTTTGTCTATTTTTTGCGTTTTGCTGGTCCAGCACTTGACTTGGTGTTCCTCATGGATTGTTCATTGCTGTCCAATGGAGTTTGATGATGTTCATATTCATTTTGCTCGGGTTCCATGGAAATGTGCATGAACTTGCTTGTTTGCCTTTTGAAACATGGAACCATCAAAATCCGAAACTGTCCAGTGAAATTTATTTCTAAACACCTTACTCACAAACCATCCACACATACCAAACAACAACCTGGAAAAGGTACCTCCATGCAGCCACCATACACAAGTGAAGCCTCCATGAAGCCACCGTGTACCCCAAATACAGTCAGAGATCTTATCTTGGCTGATGAACTGATGAACACATGTTGTGCTCTGGCCTTTTGATGCTCCCCCCCTTATGGGTGGTTCCTTATTCCAAACTCAATTTCCAATGCAACCCACTTTCCATTTTAATACTCTCATCACCTTTAACTTTGAATCTCCATTCCAGAACAATCTCAATGTCCCTTCCCACAACTAATTACATTACATTTCCATAGCATGAACAATCATGAACATCTACTCCTCCCGAATACGCATTAATTCAAAATAGTTGTTTAAGTGTATTTATGGCAATATGAATTTTAGGGGGGGCCTAAATATATAGATTCGTCAAACATGGGCAAGAACATCCCGCCGGGTTGAAAACTGAACGTGTAGACTCTAGACTCTAGACGTGTGAGTTTTGGAGCAGCAGTCGTTATTGTGCCAATTGTGTGGTACACGAAACAAGCGCTTTAAGCTCATTCTAGATGCTGGTACCATTGTTTCATGTGGAATTCACTGGGATTTGGATGGATTTGGTTATATACATCGTGGTTTTGCCTAGGTGCCCTTGTCATGTTTCTTCTTTGAGGGAGAGAATTCGTTGGCCGCGTTTTGGAGGGACATGTGTACCAGACTCTCAGACCGGCCGCCCCCCAGGACCTCGGCGGTGAAACGACGCATCGGATTTGTTTCACTTCTGTGGCCAGTAGGGCCACAGGGCCCACAGGGCCACTGACGGCACCGATTGTCATTCGAGTTGGAACTCGCTGTGCAGACGGCAGACGAACCTATCCTTTCAACGTCCTGGTTCCAGACACTCGGAAAAAGCATTCTGAACCGACCACGTCATGCGATGACAACGACACATCGAAAAGAAACTGGCCACCTGTCCTGTTGCAACATCCAACGTGATCTGTTCCATGCAATCCCCACTACAAGCAAGCGGAATGCAAAGAGTCAACATAGCCAATGTCAACCGTAAACCATGGTTCCAGATTTAACCGGGTTGGACTCCCTGCGCCAACCACCCGCTCGCCGAGAAAACAACCGCAACGGGACTACTAACATCTCGCTCGCCGAGAGGCACCGTCAAGAGAATCGTTTGAAACCATTGGTCCACATCCAACGACTTCATCTGCTTGCAAGGAATCGCAGTGATCAGCCCTGGGTAGCACAAGGTGGTGAGGAAGAAGTTCCCAAAGATCACCAGCTGATTGAACCACACCACCTCAGTCGCATGTCAAGAAAATGGCTGACTCGAAAACTGCCGAATGCATCCACTTCATTCACTTCCTGAAATTTTATGTCCTTTTTCAATCTTTTGCCATCCCCCTAGACACTGCAACGTGATTTGAGGAGAAAGAGATACTCTTCACACCGAGTTCCTTCATGTGGGAAACACACATTCTACATTTCGTGTATAAGTTCTGTAAGAAAAAATAACATTGAAGTCTCCTCTTCCACTCCTTGGCTGCCTCTTCCTGCAGCTCAGCCACTGACAGCACCGCCCCGACCGTCGCACCGCTCGCCGCTCCGGAGCCCTTCGCGGTGTCCGACACTGCGCCGTAGCTGGAGGCGCCAGGTGCAGCATCGGAGAGATGCCGTGAGGCGGGCAGGAGCATCAGCAAGCGATAAGCAGAGATACACACCTGGGAAGGGAAACCAAAAAAAAACACATCGCAAAAAGATGCAAAAAGGATGGTCAAAGGAATCCGTGCGTGGAAGGAGGAATCTTCCAAAGCCAAAACGTCCAATGAGTGAAAGAACGCTGATGAGTCGCTCGCGGTTGTTGAGAAGGCAAACCAGGTCTTGCTAGAGGGCGTTGTGGGGAGAGGGTGGTACAAAAGGCCTCACATCATCAACACCTGAAGACTGGAATTCAGGTTGGCAAACAAAGACGTGCGATTCAGGTTGACAAAACCACTTTGAACATACTTGAACCAATTTGAATGCACAACCGCTTGAATTCCGCTGCAGGAGTTCTTTCAATCTTCACCTTCTCCTCGCCCATGCACCAGCAAGCCAATTCACTGGGTCAGGGTCACACAATAATGATGCACTCACATGGTCAGATCCAGTCTCAGTGCCCTTCCACCGAGCGGATGTAAGTGGCACATGATCTTGGAATCATTGGTACCATTCTCTCATCACATGCGTTTGACTCACGATTGGGAACCCCCCTGATTGCTTAAGTTTGTTTTAGCACCTACTTGTCTGTTGTTGTATGTTTTTGTATCTTGGAACAGATCTGTGCGAACTTGCCTTGCTGATCTTGTTGCTTTTGGTTGACTTTGATGCCTCTCCCACCACCCTACCCTACCCCACCCAAAAACATCAAAATCGAACCCAGAAAACCCCTCTCCCAATCCACCAAAAACCGCCATGCCCACACTTCCCATCCGACCATTCCATGGTGTCCCGTCCCGTCACCGGTCCCGGGAGCCAGCACCGTGGCCAAGGCCACGACGAAGAACGCTGTGGAGGCCACGGAGACCTCCGAGGACACCAGCTTCGTGACGTCGCCTGGCACGTCGGACGTCGCGAGGCCCAGGCGCCAGGCGCGAGGCGAGACGGCGCGCGTTTGGGCCAACTCGGTCCGACCGAGTTAGAGGGGAGACTGGTGGGACGACATGGGAGACTGGAGGTTCGATTCGGAGGGCCAAGAGCTTTGTAGATCTGGAGAAGAACTCAGAGGTTCGGAAGAACTCAGAAGATCGAGCAAAGGATCGAACGTGTGTTTCGCAAAAACAAAACCAAAAGACTCGGATGCATGGAGACTCGATGCAATCTCTCATTGACCCGAGGTTAACCACCCCTGGCCTGATCGTTAAGAGGCAGTCCCAAAACAGGTCAAACAGGTGCCCATCCCTCGAAACGGACATCCTTCTCGCCAGGTCACGGTAGGCCACGGAGACCAGGGTACCAAAGCCTAGGCCAGCGCGTGAGGAACGGAGTAGGAACCTGGATGAGTCTTGAGCTGAACAACTGGTTCCAGAAGAATGGAGCCTCAATGACAAGGAACATGAACATATGGTTGGCTTCTAAAAGTTTACGTTTATCTATATCTTTTGAGTAGGGCTTTTTGAGCGCAGTCCATATATAACCGTTGTTAGTCTGAACAGGTCTGAACAAACCACCCATCTTCTTCAGTGCTCTTGACGAAGCCCTCCTCCCGACTCCTGGCAGATCTGACGACCCCCAAGTGGCCACTGGGCAGCAAACATCAGCAAACCATTTCATTCCACCTGAAACTGAAAGACCCAGCCTGGCATTCAAAGAGAGAGGCCCTTCTGCAAAGAGAACATTGGAGCAAGTAATAAGAGCCGGTCTTGCTTATTAAATGCAACTGTTTGCCGGAACCCAATGGTCCTGACAAGACCACTTCAAAAAGGGCCGGACCATGTAGCAGATCCTTTGGCTTTGATTTGCTCGCTGGGCCACGTGAAGAACACACACTGGTCTTCCTATGTCCGAGAACGAAGGAACACGGGAACACACCTGGCAACACATCTGACATCTGAAGGCCCAAGTAACCCAAACCAATCTGCAAGTATGCCTGCATCTTGGAGCTGTATTGTGAGCACAGCGACAGCAGTGCCGAGTCCAGATAGCCGGTGGCCACCGAGCATAGCAACACCACACCCAGCAGCAAGTCATATAGAATGGAAGGAGACCATGGGAGCCACTTGAATGCAAGGATGGCCTGGGAACCACTTAGAGAACTCCCAGGTCTCGGATGTGTTGCTCAGAACTCTTGATCATGCCCGGAAACGTCTAAAGACTCTTTTAAACCTGCTCTTATACCTTATTCACTATTAGATATATGTACTATTGTATACTACTAGTATTGTAGTATGATCAACTTCGTAAACACGAAGTCTTTGACCATGTAGGGATGTATCCGAAACACTCCATCTACGGAATACATGCCCCCTTTTCAACCACCCCCACTAATCGGCTTACATGAGGCACTGTCATGACTCACCAGTTACGCGCCTTTGAGCACAGAAATCGTTCAAAAAAGGATCACGTGGGGCTGCCATCGATGTGGCCAAGGGATCCAAGGCCTGGTTCTCAGTACATAGGCAAAAGCCTGAGAAATCCCTAAGGGAGTGGCCACCCAAGCCATGAACCCGCAACCAAACAACCAAACCTACCAGGTTCACCTACCAGGTGTGGCGCTCTTCGGCCCAACAAATAGACCACGTGACAGAAAGGCAAAGGAATTGACCACCAAAACCGCCCAAAATCCGCGGCCCAAACTGGAAGGTCTCGACGAAGGACAAGGCGATCACCGTCAAGATGGAACCTGCCTTGATTGGTCGAACGAAAAAAGAAACAACAGCAAGGACGAGGAAGTCATGCGAAATCGTCATGCGATGTCAGTTGCCATCAAGTTCGTAATGGTTCGTACAAACATCCATTGAAACTGTGTGGAATTATTTGCGGCGTTTCCCTGAAACCGTGTCGTATACCCAGGCCTTGAGCGACCTTTTGGTTACCCCTGTGCCATCGGTGGTGCTCCTTCCGTCACGGTCAGGGGACCTGGGCGCTTCGAGTCCGCGATGCGGAGAGTCCCGGACCGAGAGCGGATCTGTGGCGCCTGGTACAAGGCTGTCACCGCGAACTCCACATTCTGATCGGGAAAAAGCAGCTTCCAGTAGTCGAAGGCAGCCCAAATGGCAGCAATGGGAAAGAGGTAGCCAATGCCAATGACCACCATGCCTTGATCAAAGCTTCATGCTTAATATGGTATATATATATAGTTTATGGTGCGAGTGCCAAACAAAACTTTTTGCTCAGCCCGATTACATAGGGTTGGCCATTGGTTATTAGCATTTTGGATGTTCATCGAGTCGGGATGAAAGAGGGATCAGTAGTAGGGTGGGTCGGGTCGCAACTTCCTTTTTGTAGTACAATATACTCTACTGTAATTGGTTGCTCATTCAATCTCCTAAGCATGCATTCTCACTAACCGGACGCAACCAGGCGCAACGAAGTAGCTGAGAGTTCAGGCGGCGAACACTTTTTCAAGTGAACTGGACAGCAGGCAGGGCCAGGCAGGGGGGAAGTCTGTCCAAGAAAAATAGGTTGGTGAAAAGTATTAGCCAGTGGGTTCAATCATCTGAAATAAGTAAAGGTTGAAAATAGAAATATCCAAAACCACCACACCACCTAGAAAATAACATAAAATAACCATTCAATATTGGCAATGCGGGCTACAAAGCTGGGCAGCCCCCTCAGCCGGAGGGGAGCTTTTTGTCTCCGCCTCCAGCAATCGAGTACTGGCCTCAGGGGCCTCCGAATCAGCCATGGCCCAGGAGCGCCGTGACTGGCCCTCGCGTGAGTTAAACGGAACTGTGACCTCCCTGAAACAGAGCATGTGGTGTTCCGAACTGCTTGGAGGACCCTCTTAGAGGACAAACATGGAAAAAATAAACTCTTTGGGGATGTTACGGGGTGATGTCAGATTTGATGGACGATCTTTTGCGATGTGAAGATCTGTGCATTTCGAGGGCGTTGATCAATGTAGATCAGTGTAGATCAGATCCATAAAGGAAAACACGCATCACCGTTGTGGTTTTGCTTGGCAATGTTTTGCCATGCTTTATAGGATTTGCAAGGTAGGATTCCCTTGGTTCGCTATCGGCTCGAGCAAACACATCGTGACAGCCATGCGATGCAAGCCTGGGACCTGCACGTCTACACCTGCCTCAGATCTGTTGCGTCGCTTGCCCAGTCGTAGCTTCCCTCGTAGCAACTATGCGCAGGCAAAGACACGGGAAGGGTCCGAAGAGTGTCTATCCGCCCAGGTCTATCCAACACACCTGGAGACGTCCAAGGACTTTTTCTGTGGCCGAGTCGATGCCGGAAGTGACAAAGGATGCTCCATTTGTTGGGGGGGGAACTCACCGCCGACCTTGAGAGGTCCCGGATGAGTTCACCTCGATCCATCCACCTCGATCCATCGAGGCGATGCCTTGTGCTCCACGGGGTGTTGCGCATCGATGCCGAAGTCCTTGAGGAGCGGCGCCGTGGCGGGCATCGCCCAAAAGACCTGGGCGTTTTTGACTGCCAGGCGTGGAGGTGGCCAGAAGGGGGTGTACACCGATGAGAGGGATGAAGTGTTCGAGTACCGAAAACGGACTTGTACTCGTACCAGGACCTGTCTCTGCAAGGAAAACCACCTGTTAGGGCCCAACCACCCTCAACAAAAAAAGTGGCAGTGAAGTAGTTCTATTCTGTTTTATTCATGAAACATAACTTTCGGATGATTGTTCTCTAATGTTCTCTCCCAACAGGGGGTTTTCACTTCCGTGAAAGGCTGTTGGAAAGGATGGCGAGGAATTGGTCAAAGGCAGAAGCCCGGAAGAGTCTTATGTTGATATGTTACAACGGCTAGGGATTTCTGTGAAAAAAGCTTCCATGTGCTTCCCATCCTCGTTTCAACCACCACATCCTCCGCTGACGCAACGCGCTCTCTCTCTCTCCGCGCGGAGAGACCGCGCCTTGCCGTTGGTGGCCGAAGCCACCGTCAACAGCTCATGCTCGGCCAAAGCGTCCTGTGAACATCTTGGGCCATAGGAATTGGGCCGGGCCTTCCCGCTCTCAAGCTAGGGCTTATCCAATGATGCGTATCGGACAAATAGATGGGTTGGTTACTAGACGGTACGAGTACCGTTAGATACCTAATTGGTTGTTCACATGGGTATCCTCTCTTTTACAATTGATCAACCAAATAGATCCAAATAGTCAATGGCCATCTATGGGCTTCTTTTTCAAGTCAAATCTCAAGGACTCCCGAGGGTCCCACCTACTGTAAAGGGAGACGCACATGAGTTTAGGTGGTTTTAGTCAGCACAAAAGAAGCCATGAAAAGCCCAGAGTCTCACTGTCATCCACTTAAGGCTCCAAGTGGGTTGGCGCCTTTAGAAGCAGGTACACGTTCCAGCACACTTCGCTTGTGCTGGTGTGCGCCCCACACGCGGCCAACAGTGTGACCTAGTGACTAGAGCGGGATTACCACAAGTATATAGCATTCTGGTGCATTGGCTCTTTGAGGTAGGGCCCCTGAACCGCAGGGCAACCTCTCCGTCGAATTGTATACTAGTGTTCTACCTTTTTTGTTTATTATTAAGTAATCAGTTTTGGATTTGTTTTCTTTACACCAATCTATGGGAAGAGTACCGAACCATAAGCCATGTTTGTTTTTTGCGTTGCGAGCAAACAAAGTTTGCGAGGCCGTGGCCAAACAGTTCGAAACTATTCAAGATTCAAGACCACTAAGCGTGGATTGCAAAGGAACATATAAACACCTGCACTGGGACGAACACGGACCATGACATCTTATGATATGATGATGATGTCCCAGCAGTTTGAGTGCTCGGCGCAAAAGGAACCTTCAAACATTAGCAGCCGGTGCAAGGAAACACCCTGACTAAACAAGGTAATGTTCACATCACAATAGTAGATCACGAGTCAATTATAGACCTCAAAATCTCCAGCCTACTAAAACCATGCAATAATAGACGACTAGACTACTGTCAATAAAAAGGTGATTGTTGAGTAGGTTGAAAATGGAGAAACCATTATAAACCCATTCCATTATTTAATCCACAAATATATAACTATAAAGTAGATAGTATCAACTCTTTTTAACTAAATATTGTCAAGACAATTATATAAACTTGACTTACTCCTCTACAATAGTACACCTGCTTTTGAGTTTATGTGGCGTAGTTAGTAATTAGAAATCAATATCAAGAACAAATATTCTAGCCGATCAAAAACTATCAAAGTCTTTCTTCCATCATTCTTTAAAGTAATGCATTGGCAAAGGGTTTCCCTTACGAGTACCAATGACATACAAATATAAACTACCGTCAATCAACTTATTCCTTTCATTGTCGGTCTCTTAGGTGGCAATAAACCTTACTGCTGTCTCCTGTGTAATAAACCTCTTTCCAAATTGAATTACAGTAATAATTACTGTACAATGAACCTCTTTCTTTCTGTAATGAACCTCCTGTGGTCATAAACCTGTGATAGACTCAGACCTCCAGTGTTTTTCATGACATTCGATGCATTCAAACCTGGAGAGTCAGCCAGCGCTAGCGCTCGCTCGGATGGAACATGATGAGAGGGAAACCGCCATCGGTTCCACAACACGATTGATGAGGGCAGTCAGGCTGTAAACCCTGGGGGCTCCTGGCCTACCTCCGTTTCGAAGATGGTAGTTATGGTAGGTGCCCTCGGGGTCTAACTACCGCCCTGGTTGGAGCATTGGTCGGAGCCCTAGGGACTATGCCACCGTTGCCATCGAACCTGCCAGGCTGGGGGTACCGTTGGACCGTTGGAATCGACCACGCAGCACTTCCTCGCCTTGTGCTCCACGAAGACTTCCGAGCCGCACTGCAGCGCGTACGGACGCCTCGGGGGGGCCCAAGGCCATAGAGGGCCAAGGGCCAGGTTGAGATGCCCAAGCTCACAGACCATCACCTGTTTTTAGGAGGCAATCGGACATAGCATGGGCACCTCTGGATCCGCACCGCATGGGTATGTGCACGGCATTGTATTGGCATCAAACTTACTTGATACTTGGGATATAGCCCATTATGGGCTTGAAGGCCATTACATTGGGCCTCGAACTCCCCAGCAAACCGATTAAAAACTATAAACGTCAAGCGCAACTTGATTTGGAAAAAAACACATGAAAAACAACAAGGCCGAGGCCCAGTCCTCGGCCTCAAGCTGGTAGACCCCGCTACATCAGCCCGACAATAGATCGAGGTGACTGGACAGCCCGGTCAAGCCGAGACTGAGACTGCATATGTATGCATATTTATGCGTTTTAGTCATTCATGGTGTTAGTGTGGTTTTAAACATATGTCCTAAATTGGGAAATATAATGGATAAGAGTGGCCAACAGCGATGTCTCGCTCAGACTTTATAAAGTCAGAAATTGTGGGTCAAGTGACTCTATGATCTTCATCTTCTCCCTTCTTCCCTTCACCAAACCAACCATGGAAACCACGTCTTCTGCTTTTCGGACGGAAACGCACAGTCCTTGCGCTTGGTCTCAGGTGTTTCAAAGATGTTGGATTGTTTGTTCCAACTCATGCTGACTCTTGATGATATTTCACCCCCGCCACATGAAGAGGTGTTTCAATCCAATGTCGGGGGGGTGTTATTAATCAAGAGTCTATTTAAGATGTATAATATTGGATTGCTTTTGTTGGGTAACTCGGACCGAACCAACCCCGGAGGACGCTCTGTCCTAAGCTCCTGGCCCCCGCTTACGGGCGCCATCCTCCTTAGGAGGAACGGCCTCATCGGGATCAATCGAAGGCTGTTGGAACAACGACGCCTCTGAGAAAACAACAATCCAAACAACACACCAAAAACATCTATATACAGTGTAAAAGGCAACCTCAAGGGACCTCAACACTCCATAGGGACTGGCATATAATCAATTTAGAAACGATATAAAAAACTTGAGAGAGGAGGGGGTGAACGAAAGGTAGCAGGCAATCACAAGTAACCCTGGTAGAAGTCCACGACGGCGTGAACCGGCGCAGGGGGGATTTGATCCAGGGGGGGGGGGGGGGCCCCCCCCCCCGACGAACAGAATCAACTCTTACAGGACCAAATTCAATGCACAATCCCAACTCCTGATTGTAATACATTTTTGCTAAAGCAAGGAGAACTCAGGTAGCTCAAGCTACCTTTCGTGATATATGGTACACGGCTCATTTTGGAACCTAGAAACGGCTCACTTTGGAACCTGGCTCATTTTGGAACCCAGACGAAAAGAAAACTCTCCGGGACTGCAGCGTGAGACCAATTTCGCGGCTCATTTTGGAACACGCATCATTCGGTAGTGCTTCGAAGGTAGCATTTGCTAGTGAAAATGAGTGTTTCGTACGAGACTTCCTCCAAAAGTGAGCCGCGGAAGTCTCCAGAACGAGCGTGTCGTACGAGACTTCCTCCAAAAGTGAGCCGCGGAAGTCTCCAGAACGAGCGTTTTGTGCGAGACTTCCTTCAAAAGTGAGCCGCGGAAGTCTCCAGAACGAGCGTTT